GTGGGGGTGGGGGGCCGGACCGGGGCTGGGCAGCGGCCTGGGCGCGCAGTGTCCACCTGCCGGGGCCCTGGTGCCGCCCCCACTGGGCGAGCCTTCTCTCCCAGCGGAGCCTGCGGGCTGAGTCCCTGCTGGCACCGCCTGTCACTCTTACTGCACAGAGAATATGCCGCGGGCCTCCAGCTCGCTCCCCAGGGAGTCCCCCCTGAGGCCCTCCCGGCCCCCCCCCAGCCCGGGACCTGCAGTGGATCCCCAAGGCACCCTATGCCCCATCGCCATGAGCCTGTGGGTGCCAGAGAGCCCTCACCCTGGCTTGCCCCTGCCTAGGACCCTCCCTCCATTGGCCCGTGGGTCTCCCAGCCCAGGACCCCATGCTGCCCCAGCCAACCTCTACTCCTTCCCCCTGCAGCCTGGCAGCAGCCTTTCCTCAACGTCTTTAGACACTTCAAGGTGGATGAGTGGAAGCGGTCGACCAAGGAGGGCGATGTGGCAGTGGTGACGGTGTGTGCGGGTCCCTTCCTCACCAACGGAGACACCCTGTGACTTCTGAGGGCCCTGGCCTGGGTGGAGGGCCCTCACCTGGGTGACCAGGTCCCCTGGGCATCCCTCCTGTGTGCCTCTATCCACTGGTGAGCGTGGGTCCCCTCTCCCTCCAGGATAAGACCCTGAAGGGCTCTGTGTACCGTATCCGGGGCGCCGTGTCTGCCAGCAACTACCTCCAGCTCCCCAAGATCAGCACTCAGTCCCTGGGGCTGACGGGGCGCTACCTGTACGTGCTCTTCCGGCCCCTGCCCACCAAACACTTCGTCATCCATCTGGACGTGTCCACTGAGGTGCTGCCTGGTGCCAGGTGGAGGGAGGCCCTGCCCGCCCAGCACCCCTCATGCCCTCACAGCCACACCCTGCCTCCTGCAGGACAACCAGGTCATCCGGGTGTCCTTCTCCAACCTTTTCAAGGAGTTCAAGTCCACAGCCACCTGGCTTCAGTTCCCCTTCATCTGCCAGGCTCAGCCATCCAGGCCAGGTGATGTGGAGATGGGGTGCTGATCTGGAAGGAACAGAGGGGGCTGTGGACTGGGGTCTTTCCCATTGGGTGGGGTCTGATGGGGTACCGTCCACATACTCAGCAGACTCGATGCCCCCCAGCACCCGTTGGACCTGTCTACAGCTAGACCTGCAGGACATCCTGCTGGTCTACCTGAACAGGCGCTTCCGGCACCTCAAGAGCGTACGGCTTGGTGCCAGCTTACTGGTCAGGAACCTGTACACCAGCGACCTGTGCTTCGACCCTGGTGAGGGTGCCCGCTCACTTCCTGTCCTGACCATTAAAGTGTGCCAGCCCAGCTCCCGGGACACCCTGTGGGGGAAGGTCGGCCCTGGCTTGGGTCCCACCTGGGACTGGGAGGGGATGTGTGTGTGTGATAGATGGGTGCTGAGTGACCCGGGACACACCGCACCCTGTAGCTGTGACCACGTCTGAAGCTAGGCGCGATAAGCTGGCCGTCACTCCCGTGCCCCGAGAAATGGCGTTCCCAGTGCCGAAGGGGGAACGCTGGCATGACCGCTATGCTCACATCCGGTGAGCAGCTCTGCCTGCCCAGGGGGCTGCAGGGAGCGGGAGGGGCGGCGCAGCAGATCCCAGATGCTGACCCTCTCTGTCTGCTCTGTGGAGGTTTCCGAGGGACAGCCCTAGAGAGCCCTGGGATCCTGGGCTGAAGAGTGGCTTTGCTCCTGACCCAGGTGGGCCTGGGCTCGGTGGCTTGCAGGGTTGGGCAGGAGGCTAGGCTACCTGCCAGGGGGCTGAGCTTAGCAGGAGACTTGCCTGCCAGTGCTGGGGTGGGGCTTGGGAGATGGTATGGCTGTCTGATGGGGCTGGAGCTGGGCAGGGGGTGTGCCTGCCAGTGTTGGGGCAGGATTGGGCAAGGCGGTCTGGCTGTCGGCTTTTCAGTCACAGGGACAGGGCTAGTGCCAGTTCTGAGGCCCCCTAGGAGGTCTGGCACACCGAGCTGGGGTGGCCTTGCTGGCTGAACAGCTGTACAGCCAAGTGAATGTCAGTTTGTGGCCAGGGGGCCCCAGCACAGCTGCGCCTCCACTGCTTGGTGGTCTTGCCTCCACTGCAGGCCTCCCATGGCCAATGACACAGCACGGCCCACGTGTGGCTGCCGGCAGCAAAGCCCTGCAAGGAGACCTGTGCACAGTGGTCCAGCTCCCCAGCCCCGCTGCTGTGAGTACCCTGTGCCTTGGGGGGTAGGCTGGACACAGGGCTCCAGGTATTGATGAGTCCTGACCCTGTAGCCCTGCCAGGCCCCCTCGATGCCAGGGCCCCGCCCCCAGGTCAGCCCATTGTGCCGGCTCCCAGCCACTGTGGCTCAGCCAGGATGTGGTGATGGCATCCACGTGTTTGCCCGGTCACTGGATGTGGCGCCTGTGGCCCTGGAGAATGTTGGCGTTCAGGAGGTGAGTCCTGCTTCGGGAAAGGCATGAGCCTGGGGAGCACGCGGCCAGTGGGAGGAGTCCTGCTCTGGACAAGGGGTACTGAGGCTGGCTGGGCTCACCCTGAGCCCCTAGAATGGTGTTGGGGTCTGAGGGCCCTCTGACCTCTTCCCACCCAGGTTGACCGCCGGAAGCAGAGTAGACAGGAGGCACCTCCAAGCAAGAAGTCCCCTCAGCGAAGGGTAAGGGCGGGTTCCGTTCACTGCTTCAGCTCTGTGTCCCTCTCCCAAGTCCCTGGGGGCAGCAGGTGGGACGGGACCCAGGGTCCCTGGAACCCCCGCTTCCTGTCACCAGTGGCTCTCTGGGAGGGAGTGGGCTGGTGCTGCATGCCGGGCTCTCATCGGAAGCTCACCTTTCAGAGCTTCCTGCCAGACCCAGTCCTGAGACTCAGAGGCGTCATCGGCTTCGGGGGTCATACCACCAGATGGGTGAGACGCCGAGCAATGGGGGGGCTGGGGCCTTCATCCACTGTAGATCTTGCAGCTTCCTGCAGCCCTCAGATGCCCCCACCTACCACCACCCTCGTGGCCTGGCCCTGCCCTGTCCCATCCTCCATACACTTAAAGCGCTGCCCTGCCTGCCCCTGACACTGTGGGCTGAGGGGTGGTCCGAGCCCCTGGTGCATCTGAGGCCCATGAGCTGCCGCCCACAGTGTGAACGCTTTGCTACATGTTTCCGACCACACTCTGCCTCCCCATGTGTGGCTGGCATGTAACTGTGGGGCCTGTGACAGGCAGGGGCTGGGCTTAGAGGAAGTGACTGCACACGTGTATATGTGCATGTGTGCACATTGGTATACTGCGTGCATGTGCACATCTCTGCATGCATGTGTGTATGTGTGTGTGCGGGTGATGCGTGCATCCTGCTGTGTGTGACACGAGGTGCATGTGTGCAGACCGGGGCTGGGCATGAGGCTGACCCCAGCAGCCCAGGCGTCAGGCTATGCCCTGACCCCTGGCCCCGCTGTCAGGCCCTGTGGACCAAGGACGGGGCCTCTGTGGTATACCCATGTCACGCGGTCATCGTGGTCCTTCGGCTGGAGACCAGTGAGCAGCGTTTCTTCCTCGGCCACACAGCCAAGGTGGGGGCGCCCCTGGGAAGGGGGAGAGCTGGGTGTGGTCTCCGGTGGGACCCTTCCTGAAGCCACAGCTGCCTCCCTAGGTCTCAGCCCTAGCGCTGGATGGGCGTGACTCGCTGCTGGCCTCGGCCCAGGCGCAGCCCCAAAGCATGGTGTGGCTGTGGGATTTCCCAACGGGGGGCTGCCTAGCCATGTTCCGGAGCTCTATCCACAGCGTCAACATCCTCAGGTGGGCGGGGCCTCAGGCGGGTGGGCGGGGCTGGCTGAGAGACTGCCCTACAGCCCTGACCCACCTGCCCTGTGCCTACAGCTTCTCTGCTAGTGGGGCGGTCCTATGCGGCGTGGGCAAGGATGGCCACGGGAGGACGGTAGGGAGGAAGCGCTGGGTGCTCGGAGGCCGGGATGCAACCTTGGGGACCCTGCTTCTGTTTGCTTAGAGCTTGTCCCTGCCGGGTTGTGCGTGTTATCTAAAATGCCCGCTCAGAGCAGCAAGGTCGCGCCCGCTGACCACCGCGGGTGGTTGCTGGGACACCTGGGACCTGGCTAAGTGAGACCTCCCGCCCCCTCTGCGTCGACGCGCCTCACTCCTGGTGTGTTGCCGTCTGGGGACATGCAAAGACAGGCATGATGGTGTGTCAGTGTCCAGAGCAAACCGCTGGCCTTTAACTGCACTTCCGGGATGCCCCGCCCAACCATCTCTGCCGACATACTGACAACTGGGCCCCAGGAGGAGCCAGCCAGCGTCCACGGCTGCACCACCAGCTGGGCCTCTGGAGAAATCCGCCCAGGAGCTCACCAGCAGTCCTGGGGCCTGGCTGGGCTGGGCTAGGCGGGCCCCATCGACACTGGCGAGGGGCTGGGCTGGTCCCCCGGGGTTCACACAGGTCCTGTTGCAGATGGTGGTGACTTGGGGTACTGACCGGGTGGGTCGCGATGGCGAGGTGGTCGTCCTGGCGAAGGTACACACCAATGTGGACATCCAGTCCTGGGCAGTCGCCACTGATGACATCAGGTAACGTGGCCACCCCACACTGTGCCACCCGCTTTGGGACCCTGTCTGCAGCCCTCGTTGGGAGGCAAAGTCTCGCCCTGGGCATCCCCAGACGGCGTCTCCTCCTTGCCGCCCCCGCAGGATGGCATCTTGTGGGCAGAGAAGTGTGCGGCTCTGGCGGCTGCGTGGAGGGGCGTTGCACTCTAGCTCCGTGAACCTGGGGGAGCACCACGGGCTACACTTCACCGACCTCACCTTTGATTGCCGCGCGGACAGGCCACTCACGCTGTGAGCCCCACTTCCGTGTAAACCCGCCCCTCCTCCTGTGAGCCCGCCCCTTCCTCAGCCCTGCCCCTCCTGTGAGCCCACCCACCCTGAGCCCCGCCCCTCCTGTAAGTCCCTTCATCCCCAACCTTATCCGCTGCCCCTCCCTGTGAGCCCCACCTCTCTTCCTGTGAGCCCTTCCTTGGTGCTTGCCCTCCCCCTCCCTCCTTGCAAACCGCTCTCGTTTTTCCGGTGAGCCCTGAACCTCCCTGCCTGCCTGCCTCACACCCCCACCCTCTGCGTGACCCCCCCTGTTGTCTATGGACAGCTATGTGTGCAGTCGGAGTGGTCACATTCTGGAGGTGGGCATCCAGGGCATGGCTGTGCTGCATGCCCGCCGCCTGTTGCCCACGGAGCCCCCAGGCAGCCCCCACTTGGAAAAGCCCACCTTTACCTCAGGTGAGTGGGCACCCAGGCCCAGGGGAGAAGCTGGGTCAGTGTTGTCACTAGTGTTCCCCTGTGTGGAAGCTCACTGTCACCTCTCTTCCCTCCTCTCCAAAGGAGGGGCTGGCCGCAGTAGCCCTAGTGGGCAGGGGTTCCTCCTTCCACACCCCACCGCAGCTACCTGTCCTGCCTTCCCTCTCCCACTGGGCAGCGTGATGGAGACCCTGCGCTCTGACCCTCTGCTGCTTCGCACCCCTCTGACAGACACCACTGCCTTGCAGGCTCCTCCCCCCTAACCACCCAGGGCTCACTGTGGTCTCACTTGGCCTCTGCAGGCCCCGGAGTCGCCATCAGTAGCCTCAGTGTCTCCCTGGCCACCTGTGCTGTGGGCTCCGAGGATGGCTACCTGCGTCTCTGGCCCCTGGATTTCTCTGCTGTCCTCCTGGAGGCAGGTGAGTGCCCAGGGCAGGGAGGGCAGGCCTGTGGTTGGGAGGCACGGTTTGCGGGGGCTCCATGCCACTGCTGACTCCTGGAGAGGTCACTGCCCCCTCACCTGCAGAGCATGAGGGGCCCGTCAGCTGCGTCCGCGTCAGTCCTGATGGCCTGCGTGTGCTGTCCTCCACCATCACGGGCCACCTTGGCTTCCTGGACGTGGCTTCCCGCGAGTACTGTGTGCTGGCCCGCTCGCACACCGCCTCCCTGCTGGCCTGTGCCACGGGGCCCAGCCGGCAGCTTGCCACGGTGGCCAGGGATAACGCTATATGCATCTGGGACCTGGCGACCCTGCAGCAGGTCAGGGAACCCTGGGAAGTGGCAGGCAGGCCCCGCCTCTAGCCTCTAGCTCACCCCCACAGGCTCCACTCAGCACCTGAAGGCCCCACCCCTCACCTGCAAGTCTAATCCCCCCACCAACAAGCTCCACCTTTACCATTAAGTCCCTGACAAACTACTCTTCACCATGAGCCCCTGCACCCTCCCCTGTAGGCCCTGCCCTGCCTGCCTGCCGACAGGGCTCCCGCTCATGTGCGCCCTCTCCCACAGCTGTATGAGCTCAGGCCCCCCGAGGAGTCCCCGAGCGCTGTGGCCTTTCACCCCATGCAGCAGACCCTGTTCTGTGGCTTTCATAGCGGCGCGGTGCGCTCTGTCAGCCTGGCCACCACGGGGGGTGCGCTGGTGGAGCACAGGTGGGTGGGGCTGCAGGCCCCCTGGTGGGGAAGGGGTGGTACCTGTGGGGCCCCGTGTAGGTGCTGGGTGGAAGCATTTGTGATAGCCCAGCCCCACCCCACTCTCCCGGTGCAGGCGGCACGGGGGAGCCATCACTGGTCTGGCCACCACTCCAGACGGCCGCTTCCTGTTCAGCACCTGCTCTCAGGGCGTCCTGACCCAGTACGACTGTGCAGGACCCCAGTGCTCCGTCCTCCGAGTGGCAGGTCAGTCCCAGGGCCACAGACTGGGTCTCCAGCCACTCTGGGCGCTCCCAGCGTGGGCAGCAATGTGCCTGCATTGGTCACAGCCCCCATAGGAGGAGGGCTACTCTGGTCAGCTGACCCCCAGCCTCTTACTATCAAGGGAACATGACGTGCCAGGAGGCCAGGCCGAACCCCAACACCCTGGCGGTCAGCAGGGACAGCCACCTGCTGGCCATTGTGGGCCCCTCCAAGTACACAGTGACCATCCTGGGCACAGCCTCCCTGTATGAGGTGAGTGTTGGGCCTCTCGTCCTTGCGGGAGGGACGGCAGCCCCTCTGAAGCTGCATCTTGACTGCCTTTCGGGGGTCTCTCCAGGACTCAGTGAGGAAACAGGGGCCGGAGGAGGGGGGGGGGACACTTTCAGGACCTGGGGAGGTCAGCTGCTGGCCTAGGCTGACAGGCCAGCCACAGTACCAACATGTTACCGCCCCTGAGTCTCCTCCCTCTGACCTGGCCCGTGGGCATACACTCCTCCTGGCGGCCAGCTCAGAGGCTATGTGTGCTGCCTCAGCTGCTCCGGGTGGACGTCAGCACCCTGGAGCCAACTGGCAGCCCGCTGGACTCCACCGTGGCCGTCCTCTTCGGGCCCCCTCCCACCAGCCACCTCCTTGTGTCCATCTCCGCTGCCAAAGTCCTGGTTCTGGATGCCCAGTCGGGGCGCACCATCCGGGAGGTGAGCCCTCCACTCCTGCTGCTGCGGATGCAGGACGTCCGTGGCCACCAGTGGCCGCTGACCCCGAGGAGGACACTTTCCCACTCCCCTCGCCCTGATCACTCCCAGCTCTCCAGTGTCCACCCTGTGGCCTCCTCCTCCCTGGCTCTGAGCCAGGATGCCCAGTTCCTGGTGACAGCTGGAAACCGAGCCATCAAGGTGTGGGACTCACCGCTGCAGGAGCATCCTGGCTGCCAGGTGTGTGAGCGGGAGGAGCAGCTCTTGTACGCAGGTGCTGTGAGGACGTCCTGTACCTGCCTGTTGTGAATCCCCTGCGTGCCCCTGCCCTGCATTCTCACCAGGCCCCCTAGTGCCTGCCTTGTCCGTCCCCCAGGTGTTCATCGGGCACTCGGAGCCTGTGCTGGACTTGGCCTTCACCCCCGACCACAGGCAGCTCCTAAGCGTGGGGGACACCATCTTTCTCTGGGACATCCTGTCCCCCTCTGAGAGGAGGCCCAGGGCCAGGCAAGTGTCCACCCTTGTCCTTGGGCCTGCCCACCGCACGGCACCTTCCTATAGCAATGCGTGCTCTTTCTCGTTGCCCCTGCAGCGGCCGAAGCGCAGCCTGGGAGGCTGGTGAGTGGTTCGGCCATGGGCCCAGCACCCCCTCGGGGCCGTTTAGGACTGGAGGTCTTGCCGGTCCCTCGCCTACCCTGGCCCCTCTGCAGAGCCCTCTGCCCTGCTCCTCTCTGTCCTCAGGGCCCGGCGTTGGACAGCAGGAAGATATAGCTTCTGGGGCCCAGGGGTTCCCCCGGTGCCAGGTACCCATGCCGTCCCAGGCCCCACGCCCTCAGCAGGCCACTGGGGCCTCGACCCCCAACAGCAGTGATGGTAAGAGCCTGAGTGGGCACCGAGATGGGTGAGGGGTGCTGTCCGCAGACACATGCACATTGCCCCTGCCTTGCCCAGGCGTGTCTTCTGTGTCAGATGAGGAGGGACCCAGCGAGGAGGAGCCCTCCTCAAAGCCCCCACAGACTCCAGACCTTCGAGGGCTGCTAGAGAAGGGAGCTGGGGGGGACAGGCCAAGGAGGGGCCCAGGGGCTGAACCCACCTGCCCCTCCAGCCGGCCAGGTAAGCTCGGGGCTAAGGGTAAGGGCACAAGTCTCTGACCCAGGTGCCCTCAGGGGTGGGGGGAGTGTGTCCCCAGACCTGGTGGCCAGGGATGTTGCTCCACCCCCACCCCCCACCCCCACTGGTGCTGGTCTGCGTGTGATGAGGGTCCTGGAGGAGCCTGGACCCCTGGCCCTCCCTCCATCTAGCAGGTGCCAGCAACCCTGGAGCGGCCTACGTCCCACCCACCACCTGCCCTGACACCTATACACACTTTGTGGCCAGCTTTAAGACTTCCCAGCACCCCAAGGTCTGTCTTGGGCCCAGTCTGCACGATTGGGGGTGTGGGGTTCCAGGGGCTCCCCTCCCCACCACCATCTGGTTGACCAACAGGCCCAGGGTGAATGGCAGAGGCTTCGTGTGGGGCTGTGGCCTGAGTGGAGTTGAGTGGGTTCTGGGGGGTTGTGTGGCCCCGAGGGGGGGTCGGTAGCATCTGGATCCTGCTCCCACAGAGCACGTCCCTTCCTCCGGCTGGCGTGGAACAGCTGCGCCTGAAAGGAGTCGTGGGTTACAACGGGAACGGGCGAGCCAACATGGTGTGGAGGCCGGACACAGGTAGGCACGGGTAGGCGGGGGCTGAGGGTGGGGTGGGCAGGCATGCAGACCACACTGACTGCCCGGGGTTCCCAGGCTTCTTCGCCTACTCGTGCGGCTGCCTGTTGGTGGTGGAGGACCTGCACTCGGGCTCCCAGCAGCACTGGCTCGGCCACCCCGAGGAGGTGTCCACGATGGCACTCAGCCACAATGCCCAGGTGCCCACCTCCCACCCCCCAATAAATAGGGCCATCTGGATGGAGCTCTGCTTCCGCCTGCCCACTGACTGTGTCCCCTCCGCCAGGCCCTGGCCTCGGCTTCCGTCCGAGGCCGTTCGGCCGCCCACTGCGAGATCCGGGTTTGGGACACGTTTACTGGCGCCTGCCGCGGGCTCATCTCCCATCACGACTCCGCGGTCCAGGCCCTGGCCTTCTCACCAGATGACAAGCTCCTGGTCACCCTGGGTCAGTGGGGGCAGGGCAGGCCCGGGGACAGGTTCCAGGGGGCTTGCGCCAGTGCTGAGCTACCCCCCCTCCCCACACCCCCGGGGTCTGCAGGGAACTTTGCCGACTGCACCCTTGCCCTGTGGAGCATGGCCACCTACCAACTTGTGACATCCACGCGCCTCCCGGAGCCGGTGCACGGCGTGGCCTTCGCCCCTGGGGAGGCAGCCCAGTTTGCCTGTGTGGGCCGGGGCGCCACCACCTTCTGGTTCCTGCAGCAGCAAGGGGCAGACATTTGCCTCCAGGTGCCTGGGACTGGGGCTGGGGATAGCGGGGCCCAGAGCATATGGGACTGGGGCTCTAAGGGGGCTGGGACTCGGTGGCCGGGGTTATGCTGCCTTCTGGCTTCTGCGGGAGTGGGGCACAGAGGTCTGCATCCAGGTGCCTGGACTCCTGAGGCTGGAGCAGGGCAGTGGCACATGGAAGGGGGGTGCTGACCGTGCTCATCCACCCAGGCACACCAGGAGCCACTGCCTGCCGAGGTGGGGGCCTGCGAGCTGACTGCGCTGTGCTTCGGCCCCCCTCCTCTGCTCTACTGTGGCTCCAGCGCCGGCCAGGTCTGTGTCTGGGACACACTTTCCGGCGGCTGCTTCCTCACGTGGGCTGCGGATGACGGCGAGATCGGTGGGCCTCGGAGCTTGGCGGTGGGCTGTGGTCCCTCGGAGGGCACCTGGCAGATGCTGACTGCGTCTCTTCCCCCAGGCGTGCTTGTGGGCTCTGAGTCACGCCTGGTCAGTGGCAGCAACACACGGCTGCTGCGGCTGTGGGCTGTGGGGGCCATGCCTGAGCTGAGGCTGAAGGGCTCCGGTGCCAGGTGAGCGGGCAGCAGGGGCGCAGAGGAGGCCTGCCGAAGTGCCCTGCCAGGCAAGGGCGCTGGTGCCTTCATCCCTGGCCACCCTCCTTTGCCTGGTCCCTTAGGTCCAGCACTGTGGTCCTGGAGCACCAGGTGACCCTGGACGGGGCCGTGGTGAGCGCTGCTTTCGACAGCCGCATGGACATGGGCATTGTTGGCACCACAGCGGGCACGCTCTGGTACATCAACTGGGCCCAGGGAGCCAGCACCCGCCTCGTGAGCGGTCACCAGAGCAAGGTGGAGCACCCCCCACTGCCTCCCAGTCTGAGGGCAGCACAGCCCTCTCCTCAGCCTGTCGGGCTGGTGTCCATTGTCCCATCTAGATCTCATGGGAGACACGACAAGCCAGGGCTCGGGACAGCACCCCAGGGTACTGGGGTGGGCCCGTCAGCCAGCATGTCCACAGGTGAACGAGGTGGCCTTCAGCCCCGACGAGTCCCACTGGGCCACCTGCGGTGAGGACGGGAGCGTGCGGGTATGGTCACTGGTCAGCATGGAGCTGGCCATCCAGTTCCAGGTGCTCAACCAGGTGCGTGGGGGCCCATGGGTGGGCGGAGTGCTAGGGTGGGGCGGTCTGCCTGCTGAGGCCCTGCAGCTCGTCCCCAGAGCTGCCTCTGCTTGGCCTGGAGCCCCCTGCCCTGCAGACAGCAGGGGCCACAGCGGCTCGTGGCTGGCTATAGCGATGGCACCCTGCGAGTCTTCAGCGTCTCTCGGACGGAGCTGGAGCTCAAGATGCGGCCCCACCCATGTGCTCTGACGGCAGTGGCCTTCTCTGCTGACGGTGAGGCTGGGACAGGGCTGCCCGGAGCCAGGGCCAGGGCCACAGGGTGGGGGTAATGGGCTGCCAGAGGTCCAGGTTGGGCCAGGAGGGGAGAGGGTTGATCTTGCGGCTGAGGGTCCATCCTGCACAGGTCAGACAGTTCTCTCTGGGGACAAGGAAGGCCTGGTGGCTGTGAGCCACCCCCGCACGGGGATGACCATCCGAGTGCTGCGGGACCAGCAGGGTGCTCCCATCTGTGCCATCCAGAGCAGACTCAAAGAGGTAATGCCAGGGGAGAGGGCATGGGGGCTCCAGGTGCAGTGGATTCCAGGAACCCACCAGTCTCGTCTCCTCAGCACCGAGACTTTGGGGTGCCGGGCACGGACCTGTGGCTGGCCGCCAGCGGGGATCAGCGTGTCAGCGTCTGGGCAGCCGCCTGGCAGGAGGACATATGCGAGCTGGTGGATTGGCTGAGCTTCCCGGCGCCTGTGCCCACACAGGTAGCGCAGTGGTGGGCACATGGGGCCAGGGCATGGTGTCACCCCCACCCCTACAGCATTTGTACCCTGCAGCCAGGCACTCCCCCACCGCCCTCCCTTGCTGTCTTCTGCCCCTGGGACGCTGACCTGATGGTGTGTGCCGGCTTCGGCCCCCAGCCCCAGCTAGTGCTGTACAGTCTTCGCCAGAAGCAGGTTCCAGACCCCTACCACCACCCAGGGGGCGGGCTAGGGGCAGGTATCCCTCTTCCATTGCCCTGACAGAGTTTGAGGGATGGGGCTCACGGCACTGCCCACAGGTGCTGGAGACCATCCCTCTGCCCCTCTTCGCTGTGTCCCTGAGCCCATGCCCAGGATCCCACCTTGTGGCTGTTGGCTTTGCTGGTGAGTGCCCTGTCCCCAGCTCCTGCACCCTCCTCTCTGAAGGAGAGCAGCAGTGAGACCGTGCCCTGTGTGGAGCCGGATGGGGACCCTGCTCGTAGAGGAGCAGGTGAGGGAAGGCAGGGCAGGCCCCGCGGAGAGCTATACAGCATGAAGGCCTGTGCTGCCCCGCAGAGCGCCTGCTGAGGCTGGTGGACTGCACTTCGGGGACAGGGCAGGACTTCGAGGGCCACAATGATGAGGTGCACCTGTGCCGCTTCGCCCCGTCCTCGAGGCTGCTCTTCACGGCCTCCCACAAGGAGATCTTGGTGTGGACCGTCTCAGCGGCCGGGGGCTTTGGCCAGGCAACAGCCGGGGAACGATCCTGAGGGCCTCACCAAGACCTGCTGCTGTGCACTTGGGTCTGAGAATGGCGGGTGGGGCTGCTCACCTGGGGTCTTCGTTCCTCCACGTGTACCTTGTAAATAAACATACTTGCTACACCCACCGACTGGGTGCCTTGCTTGCTATAGGCCCCACCTGGGCCACCCCACCTGGGCAGAGGAGGTCCTGGCTTCAGTTGTCCCCCGCCCCACCCCTCTGGGTCCGGAGAGGCGGAAGCATGCAGTGCCCGGCGTGTCCACGCGGTGGCGAGGACGCGCTTACCAGCCGCTCTGGCCGGCCTGCCTCGGTGGTGAGGCCACCTGGAGAGCGGGCCGGAAGTGGCGCGGCGAACGGGACGGGGCTGGACCGGGTCGGGTTTGGACTTGGGGTCGCGGCTGGGGCTGGGGTCGGGGCGGGGTCGCGGCAGGACGGGCCCGGGCTGCAGCTATGAAGCGGGACGTGCGCATCTTGCTGCTGGGAGAGGGTAGGCCCCAGCGGCGGGGGTTGCGGGGCGGCTGCGGGTCCTGGGGCGCGGGGCGTCGCCTTTGGGACGGACTGGTCCCGCCCGGGGCATGAGGCGCCGTGACCTTGGTGACTGCCGCGCTGACCGCTCCGCCCCGCACAGCTCAGGTGGGGAAAACGTCGCTGATCCTGTCGCTGGTGGGCGAGGAGTTCCCGCAGGAGGTGAGTGGCTAGCTCAGAACGTCCCGGAGGCACCTGCGGCCACACCTGGACGCTAAGGCATCTGTGGTTTCAAGGGGTCAGATCAAGGGCCAGGCCTTCGGGGGCCAGGGGGACCCCACGGTGGGCGGCAGGGTTTGCCCGGTGCAGTTCGCACTTGGCAGGGTCCAGCGCTCACACATAGGCCTGCCCCTCCTAGGTCCCCGCCCGTGCGGAGGAGATCACTATACCCGCAGACGTGACCCCAGAGAAAGTGCCCACGCACATCGTGGACTACTCAGGTAGCATCCCTCGCCTTTCCCGTCCCTCGCCACGGAGCCGACTTGCATCGACCGGGCCTGGGTGTGGAGGGCAGGGTCTGTAGTGAGTTCTGTCCTGTCCAGAGGCCGAGCAGACGGATGAGGAGTTGCAGGAAGAGATCCACAAGGTGAGGCTCTGGGGGGCCCTGGTGCTTGGCGTCCCATGGCTAGGCTGATAGGGCGCCCTTTATTTACAGAGGTAATTGGATTAAGGAGCCAAGTTTAGCTACAGATACTGATTCTGCTGTGACTGTGGCTGGGAGCCCAGGATTAGCCCTGGCACAGCTCCCAGGGACCCCGGTCCAGGGTTTACGGTTTCAGGCTGGGGAATGGACCCCGTACTCCGAAGCATGACCTTGCTGGGGCTGCAGGGCTGGGGGCACAGGCTTTCAGGGCACTGCCCAGCTGAGCTCCCAGGAGAGGGTATTTGGCCCAACCTTGCTGTATCCTCAGCTGTCCAGTTGGCCCTTCTGTCATCACTGCCCCACTAGGTCAGGTATGCAGTGACACCAGCAGGTGGGTGGAGGTTGGGGCTGGGATGGAGCCATTTCTTCCCACAGGCCAACGTGGTGTGTGTGGTATACGATGTCTCGGAGGAGACCACCATTGAGAAGGTGAGCAGGGGCCCCTCAGGACCCCAGGGTTTGGGGTGCCCACCCCCCACCCACCCCAGGCAGGACCTGGCACCCTCATGGCCCTTGGTCCCTCCCAGATCAGAACCAAGTGGATCCCGCTGGTGAATGGAAAGGCGGAGCAGGAGCCCAGGTAAGGAGGGGCCTGGAGAGAAGCTTGGGCCATGGCCCTCACTGTCTGTCCTAATGATCGTGGGCCTGTCCCCAGGATCCCCATCATCCTGGTGGGCAACAAGTCAGACCTGCGGCCGGGGGGTTCCATGGAGGCCGTACTGCCCATCATGAGCCAGTTCCCAGAGATTGAGACCTGTGTAGAGGTGGGTGAGGCAAAGAGGGGACTCTGGAGGGATGAGCAGGAAGGGGCAGGGGAGCAGACATGGTGGAGGGCCAAAGTGGCGCCCCCCAGGGTGCCCCAGCCATCTTTTCCTCCACAGTGCTCAGCCAAGAACTTGAGGAATATCTCAGAACTGTTCTACTACGCACAGAAGGCAGTGCTGCACCCCACGGCCCCACTATACGACCCAGTGGTCAAACAGGTAGGCACAGGGCAGGGCCGGGGAGGCCAGGAGCCGGGGGTGGGCCCACTAAGCCTTGTCTCTCCCCAGTTACGACCGGCGTGTGCCCAAGCCCTCACTCGCATCTTCAGGCTCTGGGACCAGGACCTGGACCAGTCACTCAGTGATGAACAGCTAAACGCCTTCCAGGTGCATACCCCCTCCACCCACCCACCCAACCTGGGCCTGGGCCTCTGGCCTCCCAGTACCCTCCAAACTGCCGAGGAATACCAGGCTTTTCTCCGAGCAGAAAGCCTGCTTTGGGCACCCGCTGGCCCCCCAGGCCCTGGAGGATGTGAAGATGGTGGTGAGCAAGAATGTCACTGGCGGTGTTCGGGACAACAGGCTGACCCTGGAGGGTGAGGCCCAGGACCTGCCTTAGGGGCGGGGTTTCTCATGGGCGGGGCTTTCCATGGGCCTGGCTGTCAGCCCCTCACTTTCTGGCCACAGGCTTCCTCTTCCTGAACACTCTCTTCATCCAGCGTGGCCGTCATGAGACCACTTGGGCCATCCTACGGCGCTTTGGCTATGGGGACACACTTGAGCTCACGCAGGACTACCTCTACCCCCAGTGAGTGGGCAGCCAGTCGGCAGTGCGGAACCTGCGGGCGGCCCGGGCCACTGAGGAGCCCTGGGCAGTAGGGGTGGCCAGGGCAGGCAGCAGCCAGAAGGCCTGGGGACTTTGGCCAGGCCACATGGAGCAGATGGGCCTTGGGGGCAGGGGGCCAGCAAGCTCTGGAAGCAGCCGCTCTCCACAGGCTCACCGTCACCCCTGGCTGCAGCACGGAGCTCAACCACCTAGGCCAGCAGTTCCTGCAGAGAGTGTTTGAGAAGCACGACCAGGTGAGGCAGGGGGCCCGCTGCCACGCCACCCCGTCCCCATGCAGGCCCGGCTCCCTGTCAGTGCCGCCTCCTTGTCCCTCTGCCCAGGACTGTGATGGTGCCCTCTCGCCAGAGGAGCTGCACAACCTCTTCCGAGTGTTTCCAGCAGCCCCCTGGGGCCCCGAGTTGGCGTGCACGGTGGGCACCGGGCCCAGGGGCCACTTGTCCCTACACAGCTTCCTCTGCCAGTGGACGTAAGTGCAGCCCGCCCTGCCCTGCCACTTCCCTGCCCCTGGTACTGCCCCCCATCACTCCGTAGTAACGGTCCACCTGTCCCTAGCCTGGTGACCTACCTGGATGTCCGGCGCTGCCTCGGACACCTTGCTTACCTGGGCTACCCTGCCCTCTCTGAGCAGAAGTCCCAGGTCCATGCCATCACAGGTTGGTACCCCCTTTGACCCTTTGCTAGCCCCCCATCTCTCCCATCTCTCCACTTCCTCATTACCCCTGAGGCCCCTGTGCCAGCCGCCCACCCCTAACTCCCCTTCACTAACCCAGGGGCTCTGTGCCAGCTCCCCCATCTCTTTCTTACTGGGTAAAAACCCTCCCTCCCTTGCCCCCTCTTTCCCCTTACTACCCCCAGGACCCTGTGTCTGTGTCTGCCCCCCCCCCTTGGGGGCCTGTGTTAGCCCCCCCCCCCAGCCTTCTCATTGGGTGGGTAGGTATCCCTGGAGGCCAGCCCTCCAGCCCTCTCGTGCCTGCCTACAGTCACCCGTGAGAAGCGGCTAGACCAGGAGAAGGGGCAGACGCAGAGGCACGTGCTCCTGTGTGAAGTGGTGGGGGCACGTGGGGCGGGCAAGTCTGCCTTCCTGCAGGCCTTCATCGGCCGGAGCCTGGAGGTGAGTGTCATGGAGGTGGTGGGGGGCGGGCGAGGCGGGCCCGGGCCACTGAGTGTCAGCATCCCCTTGTGTTGCTGTGCCCCTCCCCCCAGCACCAGGCGCCTCCTGGGGAACCCTCCGTCCATGCCATCAACACGGTGCAGGTCAATGGGCAGGAGAAGTACCTCATAGTACGTCTGTGGCAAGGTGAGGGTCTGCCAGCCCACCCACCCTTGTCTCGGTCCCTTCTGAGGCTGCCCTCTGTCTGCAGCTTCAGGAGGTGAGTGCCGAGAGCCTGTTGGACGCGCCATCGGCCACCGCCTGTGACGTTGCCTGCCTGCTGTTCGACCGCAGTGACCCTGCATCCTTTGAGTTCTGCGCCAGGGTCTATAAGGCAAGGTGGGGGGAGGGGCGCTTGCAAAGCTCCTGGCTGCCATCCTGCAGCCACGCTCACACTGCCCTCTCCCCACAGCAGCGATACCTGGACGAGCAGACCCCCTGCCTGCTTGTCTCCTCCAAGGCTGACCTACCTGAAGGCGTGGGGCTACCTGGCACATCCCCGGCTGACTTCTGCCGCCGCCATCGGCTGCCCGCCCCTGTGCAGTTCAGTGCTGGCTCAACTGCCCCCGGCACCGCCATCTTCAGCCAGCTGGCCACCATGGCCACTTTCCCGTGGGTACCAGCCCTTGGTCAGCTCGGAGGTGGGGTGGGGTGGGGTGGGGTGGTCAGGCAGGGTTTGGCTGTCCAGCCACCCTCTGTTGGGTGACACAGGGCCCCTGAGCCCCACCATTTCAGGGATGGGCTTGGCCAGACCTGGCTCTGGGTGGGTCGGATGCTGACTTTGTGGGGCTCAGCTTGTCCAGGTCCCCAACAGGGTATAGGTTGGGATCTTGTCCAGACGGGGCTGTCTTCTCTCTGCAGACACCTGGCCCACACAGAGCTACACACATCCTCCTGGCTGAGGCTGGTGCTGGGGGCCGCCGGGGCTGCGCTGGCCGCCATGCTCAGCTTCTCCCTGTACAGGGCCCTGGTGAGGAGCCGGTGAGGCCAGTCAGAAGCTGTCCTGCCTGGCCATGCTGTCGGAGGCAGGACCCCTGAGTTACTGCACAGTCCCTGCCAAGGGGCTTCCTCCACATGAACCCCCCTTCCAAGGACTGCGACCGCCCTGCTGCCACAGCACCCACCAACCACTGACAGGCCTCATGGGGGCTGGGGGCTGGGGGCACGGGTGAGAAGCTGGTGACCCCAGACCCGGAATTCTCAGGGCCTCATCCTTTTCTTCCTGGCCCCTGGCCCTGGAGGTCACTGGCTGTGAGGGGTCAGCAGGAGGGGAAACAGGAAATGTTGGGGTTTGGTGGCCCCCCAAGCACGAGATGGGCTTTCGGATTAAACTTTATGGTCTTGACACCTCTTGGAAGCTGGTCTTAGGAGCATTCTTTCTTGAGTAGTCAGCCTGAAACTCATCCTCTGGGGTGGCACAGGCCCACTGTCCCCTTGGCCTCAGCCCTAGGCACACGTCCAGGCCAGGGTGGTCTGGGGCTGAGAGGCCCAGAGACAGAATTATGTCACTGAGGGGACTGGGAGGTGGCATATAGAAGTCACCTCCTGGTAGTACCTGTGCCACAAACTCCCTAGTCAGGGACACTGCCCACCCTGAAAGAGGGACAGCAGGGCATCTCAGGGGTGGGGGGTGGCTTCCAGAGCCCAGGGCAAAGGGGATGGTGCCCAGGAACTCCCCCTCTGGGGACATCACCCCAGGGAGGGTAGGTCTCCAGAGCCCGGAGTGAAGGGAGGGTGGCTGGGCAGACAGACCCTGGGCCCTTCTTCCTCCCTGGCATTTAAACCAGGTGCCATTGAGCTGGCTCCTGGGGTTGTAGGCCACAGGAGGGCAGGGCAGCCCCC